GCGATGGGAATTGCACACACACACACACACACACACACCCGAGAAGTTTCCGTCCAAGAAAGGCATTGAATTCTTTGGAAATGAAGGGGGGAACCCACAATCATTCCCCCCCCCAATCCCCTCCCCCGCCTCTGGCTCCCTTTTCTAGGAAAAGAGCTGGGTCCTCCAATCTCCGGTAGCAAAAGCAACTTTCACTAAAGTTCAGAAACCAACGGGCCACGACTTTCTTGTAATTTTTCCCTAACTTCTTTGAGCCTGATAGAAAGTGCGTTTTAGTAGCTCTGAACCCATCATGGAATGGTTAGAAAGTAGCTGGACCGCTCTTTCATTCTAGGACACGCCCCTCCGCTCCCCAGTATTAGCCGGGATTTGAGCCTAGTTCAGAGGTGGACAACCTTGGCTCTTTCATGACTCGTGGACTTCAACTCCCAGAATTCCTGAGCCAGCACACGAATCATAAAAGAGCCAAGGTTGCCTACCCCTGGCCTAGTTGAATTAGATCAGATCTGAATATTCTTGCCTTGTGGGCCGCTCCCGACTCCATTAAGTAGAAGTAGCCTCCAGCAAGCCCTGTGTGTGTGTGTGGGGGGGGACTTGAGTTCGGCGTTCGGTGTTCTCTGGAGCCCTTTGCAATCGATCACCAATGAGGACGTTTGGTGTCTGCCTCTCGATCTACTTCACCTCCTGGCTCCAGAGGATTCCTCTCCCGAGATCCAGACAAAATGCATTCCAGAGTTCTAGCTCTAATTTACACACAGAACTTTTGGACAGGTTGTGATTGGACACACTTTTTCCCGGCGTGCTCCGGAACGTTTTGTCTGTCTGGAAAGCTCAGACAAACGTCAAAAGTCTCGAGGTTAAGCAACCGGCTTGAGCACCTCGAACAGAAGTAGCTTCGAAGTGCAAAGTCGCGTGTGCCTACTTTCCAATCGGAAAAGTAGCATCTTTACAAAGCCAATCGGCGTGACATTCTCCAGCGGGAAGGTACCTTTAAGAAGAAGGGCAACCCTGGTAGAAAAACAGGGTCTGGCTGCTGGTAACAGGGTTTGGAATCAAGGGATTCGGCAAGAAAATCGGCCAATGAATGGAATGCATCGGAAGAGATCTAGCCTAGGGCGACCGTACCTGGATTGCAAATATCTAGTTGGCCACTAGACGGCAGCAAAGAGTTACGATTCCGTCTCTAAATTGCCAGTCCAGGTGTATCTAGCGAGAAGGCCAAATATTGAAAAGCCAGTTAGATGTTATTCAGAGAGATGATTTCTGAATGTATATGTTTCCGGAGCTGGATTCAGGCTTTGAATTGTCTCATTGAAATAAACCTATAGTTGATAGGACAAACTTACCTTCCATTGACTTCAATGTGTCACTTTAAGTTGAAGCAAATATAGCTACACTCCATTTGGCATGAAGAGAGATGCTTAAACTTAATATCCTGCACCTTCAAAGGACTCTCAGGAGGAGCGGTTTAATCATTATAACCCTAACTCTTACCTTGGCTTTCATTCAATTATTTTGTTCCTCTCCAAAACTAACCATTTCTGAATGCTGATCTTTGATTCAGAACCACCACCCCTCCCCCCTCTTTCTTTTCACCAGGGATCTTACACCTTGATGAATATTTTCAAGGGAATCCTTGCCTGCACTTCCCATCCTCCTTTTGGCCTTAAATCCAACCTGCTTTTTAAGAGGAAGAGTGGAAAGTAACGAATTAATGCTTCTTTGCAAACTTGCTACAATCTGATGACTTAAACCATAGTTAATCTTGTCTTCTGTCAATCGCCTTTCACCTCTTTCTTAATTCTTCCACAGGAAAATAAAGCAAGGCCTGGATTGAAGCTGGAAGGCTGGAAAGATGAAAGTGGCCCTTGGAATAAAGTAGATGCATAGCCCCCTAGCCCAGCCTGATGGTGCCTTGTTGTATTGGACTACAATTACTGCCACTCCCAGCCAACATAGTTATTAGTTCAGTCCTCAAAATACGATGAGAATTTAATCAAAAATTAGAAAATGGGGAGTGTGATATTGGGCTGGCCCAAATCTTTTCCCCACAATCCCAGCCTTGTTTCAAAAAATTATGTTCTGTTGATGCCCTCCCTAGTTTGGCACACTGTCTGATGTATTGGGATACAACTATCGCATCTTTAGTGGCTATTTATCTTTTTGTGTGTGTGTGTAAAATGGCACTGACCCATTTAAAGTTAACTATGATTAATAATGTAATCCTATACTTGTCTTTCCAGAAGGAAACTCTATTAGTTCAATGAGATTGACTTGCAATTCAAAGTAGTTTCAGCTGGTCTGCCCCACATAGAGGTTAACCCCAAAGTGTGATTGTGGCTGGAGCTATAAAACTTTGGGTCTGATGCTCCCAGCCTTCGCGTGCTGCTTCTTGCCTTTTCAGTGCCTTCCACAGGGCCAGACAGGTTTAGCTGTTAGTGAGCTAAGCAGTTAATTTCCAATTTATGTGCCATCTAAACATGTTGGGCTAGTTCTCTAGAGCCTAGCAAAGCTCCATCTGGTTGGGAAATATGGGGATCTCATCTGGAAAGGACCAGGTTGCAATGATTTTATTGCCCCAATGAGATAAACTCATTTCTTTTCCACTTTGGTTTACCCCTACGGTACCTTGCGTAAAATAGACTGTGTGATATCAATAAATATGTTCCAGTATTGTCCTTTACAGAGTAGGGTGCCAGAATTGGTTTAACCAGAAGTTCATTAGGTAAAGCACAGATGGGCAACTTCACACATCCCACTAAGCCATTAACTGCACTTTTCAAACCGGAGTCTCTGGTTCATATAACGGGCTTATCAGAAATTAAACCACCTGATGGCTTAGGGACACATGAATCCAGCCAGAGCTTAGGTGAATCCGATTGAGACCGTCTTCCCTTGAGTTTCAAAGAGACTGTCCAGTCACCATCCCTCTTGTGATCAAGAAGCCGCCATGGCTCAAAAGTCAACTATTTTTATACCTGCTTAACGTGGAAATCGAATAGAAAGGGCAATTGAAGCCAGGGGGTAAAGCTCAGCGATAACCCCCCCGCCCCGCCCTGCCCACCTGTGGTGGCGGCGACTTTTACTTGAAAGGGAAAGTAAGAAGAACCCGACGGCTGAGATTAAAGCCCTTTCCTTTTGAAAGCAAGAGAGAGCCGTCCCTTCTCTGGCGCGGCCCGGTGAATTCGAACCCAGTCAGGTTCGCTTCGCCAGCATATTCAAAGCGCCATCAGTTCGATAATGGGGACCATGATGATTATTTGCAGAGACCTCGTTATTCCACCCTCCCTCCCTCCCTCCCTCCCCCAGCCCTTCCCCCTCCGCGGGGACAAGAAAAGCGAACTCGGCGGATTTCTGTGCTTCTGCTCACCTGTGCCTTTGCGCTCGCTCCAGTATAAAACTCTCCCCCCTCCTTGCCCTCTCCCCCCCCCTTGCTACCTACCGAGTCGGTTCTGCATTCCCAAGAGGCTGTGGCAGGCCTATCTTTTAGCCCTACCCTAACCATGTAGTTTTGGCGAGGAAGCCAAAGGAGGTCCCCCATTCGGACTAAACCCGGAACACCGGGCCGATTAAACTCCGCCAGTTTCGGTCGGAATATCTGGCTACTGATCTTCGCAGTAGGAGTCACTGTGGAGCCATTCTAACGCGCGGCGTTTCTTTGATTGGCCCAGAATCCTCTCTCGCTAAATCCAATTCGCGATTGGATTTATCCCTTTTTCTCCTCACCTGCCTTCTTCCTAAGCTTAAACTCGTCCTAGAGAAATATACTTAGGATCCAAGGGAGGCCGGTTCGGTCTGATCACACCCCCCCCCCACACACACAAGGTCTGAAAACCAGTCTTACCGTTGCCGCCCTGTAGTCAAATGGAGGCGAAATAAATGAAGGGCATGCAAAACTCCCAGCAGTTCTCGGACACTGTTCAGCCCTCTGCCGGGAAACTGACCACGCAGGTGGGGTCACTGGATCGCGTATGCAGTACAGAAAGAGGCTTTTACCCTGCCAGTTGCTGCTTTGTCTTTCTCTCTTTCTCTCTTTCTCACCCTTTCTTTCTCCCTCTCTTTTCCTGAAGTTTTGCACTCCCCCCCTCTCCGTTTGCATATTCTCGGGGAAACGCAAAGGAGAAACAACGGAAGGAGTCTCTCTCTTTTCGCAAAGAATGGCGCCCAGACTGGTTTAGCGCGGCGCATCTGAGCCGGTGATCAACCGAGGGAGCCAAATGATTCCTTGCAGAAGCCCGGCGTTCAGAAATGCTTTACGCACGATCCCAGCCAAACTTGTCTAAGCTTTGCTCCTCTCTCTCTTTTTCTTAAAGGGCCCACCTTTAAAAACGTGGCATTCACGTCCTTGGTATATATATATACCTTTATATATATATATATACCTTTATATATATATATATATACCTTTAACTGCAGCCGACCGTGATCCAGCTGACACAAGTAATTGACAGAGTGCTGTAATGTCACCTAGTCGTGGCTGCGGTGCTACCAAGTCGCTCTCTGCATTACTGCTAAATCCCTACAGCAATTGTTGGATTGAACGCTAAAGCGCTTGATTGCGAGGCTCTCGAAACGGCTTAAGTGAGTCATCTCTCAACCTGTTGGATTACAATTCCTATCTCCGTCTGTCGTAGCCAAGAGCAGTTGTAATCTAACACATCTGAACGGCACCAGTGCAAGAAGCAGCAACAATCAAAGACTTCTTTAAGCAAAGCCTCGCTTCCACCCTATGGCTTTTGAGCTCTCTGTTTATTACATGTCCCCCTTCCCGTCCAGTCTTTCCTGGTGGGAAACTCAACTAAGCCCATCCGCCTCACCCTGTGAAGTGATCCGCAAGCCAGTGAAGCTGGAATGCTAGAATTTAACCCTGCGGCCCGTTCCGATCCTGCTTAGCTCAAGAAGAGCCAGACTGAGCGGGGTCGCGACTCTCGCTGTAGAAAAGTCCGGATTCACAACTTCCAGCCAAGTGTCCCCCCCCACCCCCCCATCCAGATCTTTAGTTTCTAAACAAAAAATCTCTGCTGCGTCCAAGCTGCCCTTCCGCCGCTGAAAACGACCCCTCTTTATTTGAACTCAAAGCCATCTTGCAGCTCGATCTTTGAAGCGGGTCAATCGGCCCCATTCCTTGCCAAGCGTCCCCATGGAAGTCAGCAGAGGTCCGCGACGACTGGAAAGGCTAGGGGGACCCACCTGGCTGAGTTCGGACCGAAGATCAGGCGAGGAGGTCCCGTTTCCCACCGGTCGCTACTTTGGCCAGGAGATTAGCCAGTCCTCCTGCTCGGAGGTCTGCGTTGCCGCCAAAGCCGAGGAGGAAGAAGAGGAGGAGGAGGAGTTGGTGACTCGCCGGTAAACCAACGGACTTGGCGGCGCCGCGGCTTTCTGGGACACTTGCCGCGCCACAGCGCTCCAGTTCGCCAGAAATTCGGGCTAGGTGCTGTTTTGCGAGCGGCGGAAGAGCGAAGCCCAGTTTATGTAGCTTCTCCTCTTTGCTGGATCGTCGCTTCTCTGCCTCGCTCGCTTGTTCTGTAAGTCACCCCCCCCCCCAAAAAAAAACAAACAAACTCCCGCTTGGCGATGCACAGGAGCGGCAGGCCCACCCGGGCAGTGCCCGGCCCCGTGCGCTCTTTTGGCTTCCCTGGAGACGCGCGCCTTGCGCTTGCCGAGCCTTCCTCCCTCTACCCCGCCGCAAAGCTAGACAATAGAAGAAGAGGACCGTGGAGGAGGAATCATCCCGGCAGCTACTCTGGCTCGCTTGTCCTCTGATCCCCGCTGGGAAAGCCGGGCCGACTCCCAAGAGAAGCGGGCCCTGGGAGGAGACGGGTGAGAGACTCACAGCTCCGGAGCTGCTCGTGGCGGTGTAAATCCATCATCCGCAGAGACAGTTTGTGAGCTCCCGAAGGGAGCTGGCCGGGTGCATTCCTGAGTCAATGCGCAGGCGCGGACAGGTAGCGCCCTGCACTTTATGACCAGGTGAGCAGTTCCTCTGGCAGGTAAAAGAAGTCTTTGCCTAAAGAGATCGCAGAAGAGGCAAGCGGGCGGATCACTCATTCCATGACCAGCGGGGACCTGGTGATAGGCAGCCCGGAGCCAATATGTCACTCCTTGCAAAAATGGGGGACTGGCAGGTAACACAATTCCTCTATTCCTTTCGCTTTCCTTTCCTTCTTTTCTCGGTGTAGGGGTTGGGGTTTTTTTTTTTGGCTTGTAATTTAAAGAAGGAAAGGGAAGCATGGATCCAGGTCAGTAGGCTGAGTAACCAACCCACTAGTCTTAAGGGCAATGTCCCCAAGGGAAAAGGCAATCTGATTAAGACACTGCGCGGTTATGCAAAGAGACTCTCTGACCTTTTAACAGGTGGGGAGAGTTGTGTGTGTGTGTGTGTGAGAGAGAGAGAGAGGGGGGGGGAGGGAGAGAGAGAGAGAGAGACTTAATTTTTTTTTAAAAGGAAGCAACATAGCTTTGTCTTTACAGTAATAAGCCATCCATACTAGAGTCTTCTTGTTTGGGATAGTTTGAACTAACTAGTTGGTTGGTTTGCTGGTTCTTTCTACCAAGGTTCTCTGGAATCCATTGCAAATACCAAAAGCAATTTTAAAAAGAGATATTTTTTTTTGCTGGGTCAGTGTGAGTGTGGAACTGTGTGTGTATGTGTGCATTTGTGAGAGAGCAAGAGCAGTAGAGAAATGCACAAAGACTGTTTCTTAAGAAGGAGCATATACTGTAAGTTGTGTAAGCACTTGGTTAGTTTCTCTGGCACCCGGAGGAGGTCGGAGAAACTTAAAAGGTGCCAGAAAGTGAAAGTCATTCTGCCTCAGTCTCTAGGCCTAGTAAAACTGTTGCATGGATCAGAGGTACCATTTACCCACCATCCTTCAGAGGGAGAAAGCTAAACATCACTTTGTATATCCACTGTCCTGGTGGGCCCTGAAGAACAAGAAGAAAAAAAAGAAAAAAGAAAAAGTTAACTGCAGGCTCTGGACTGCTTTATGAACTCAGTGAACGAGGAGGTCACTATCTGAAGGCACCCCCGAAAAAGGCTGAACCCCACCACTCACCTATTTATAACTGTTCCAGCTCTCAGCGGATTTCCAAAACCAACCAGTAGCTCCCCTAGTGTGGGTTGCTTTTAGGTTTCCCTGCCTTTGCGGTTCTAAATTCAGAGCTGTTTCTGTAGAAGGAGAAAAAGTTAACTTTAGGCAGGCAGGTCTGGAAGCTTGGTGGCTTTTTTTTTTTTTTTTTTCCCTTCCACGTCCAGACCAAAAGGTAAAGAAAAGTCAAGGGTCTTTTAGGCTCTTTTGATTTCCCGAAAAGTTTGAAGGCTCTCCAGTTCTAGATAGGCTGTGAAAGCCTGTGCGCCTCTGTGTAAAACATTCATGGAGGCTTAGGCAATCTTAGAAGTAGTTCTTGTTCTTTTAACTTCTGGATCATGGCTTCTTTCTATGTAGCTGACTTGGTGCAACAATTTTAATTTTAACCATTTTAATTTTAACAAATTTTAACAATATTTCCAATTATTCACGTTTAGGATTGAACTATAACTGCATCTGGATCAGAGGCCAATTTTCAGTGAAAGCTCTTTCCCTACTGCAGGGAATGGCCCCTTCAGATGTGCCAAACGCCAAGCTACCACCACACCTTGAGTGCTTGAATGAATGTGGGCAAAGGTCCTCGTGGCTTGGAGGCCGCTTCTGGCCTAGGGGCTGACCCTCCACTGGTGTAAAATGGGCAGCTCAACTAAAGGGATAACCTGCCTTCCCGATGAGGAGGTCTAAACTGCCGACCAGCTGCTCCTTTACAGGCTTAGGTCACTAGAGAGGGCAATCCCACTGGCATAAACTGGGAGACCGAAGATCCTTGCGTATGCCAGAACGTTAGGGGGATCTCACGAGGTCCCTTTTGGTTCACCTGAAAGCGTGCCTGAAGCTCTTCTTTTTCAACTACTACCCCCCCTCCCCACTTCCACCTTGGTTTGGCCTGGTTTGGGAATCCGATCCCGAAGGCCTTGCCCAGCCAAATCTACCATGCGGGGGGGGGGCAGAGTTGCCCATTAGAAAGGCCGAGCTGCAGATCTCGAGAAGCCCTTTCCCCCTGCCCCCCCCCGCTGAGATGGCTCTGGGGTGTGTGTGTGTGTGAGAGAGAAAAAAATTATCCACTCCCGTTAATGCCTGGGAGCCGAGTGGCGCCACACGCTCGCCCGCTGGAAGGCACGGCGTGCCAAGGGAGAGGAGTGGAGAGGTGTGTGTGTGTGTGTGTGTACGCGCAGTTGACTCTGCCTGTCAGCGGCTTGGTTCGAATGCCGAGGAGGGAAGCAAAGCGCCACTTCTCCTCCGGGGGTCGGGAGGAAAAGGCAGAGCGAGAGGGAAAAGGCCCAAGAGAGATTGGGCAGGTGCTCCAGAACCCGGGAAGTTGCCACAGAAACCGGTCGTCCGGCTTCTTGGGTTTGATACTAACTTCCGGATGCTTGATGGGTTTTCCATCAGCCCGTTCTGCTGCCTGCTTAGCGTTGGGGCTAAATCTCCGAATGGGTCCCCCGAATCTGAACCCCAGGTAATTGGCTAAATCTTTTCAGGCCCTGACGGAGGCGGAGGAAGGCTGGCTACAGTTAGGGTCCCCCCCCCCCAGGTAAGAGCGCCTCTGCTTCCTTGGAGCTGTAGGTTTTGCTGCGCTCCAGGCTGTTCCCTTCGGAAATGCGGCTGTCCTCGGCGGAAGGACAGCTCCAGCAACGTTGCTGGGCTGCGGCGTCGGTGTCCGAATAAGGGAAGAGGCTTGGTTTTAAAAGGAAGGCCAACTCAGACCCTGCCCCAGCTTTTGTTGAGCTGAAACGTCCCGCCTGCCCGGTCAGAAATCAATTTGGATTAGCATAAACAGATGAGCAATGAGATAATCGCGGTGGAGGAGGAGGAGAAGGAGGAGGAAAAGAGGAAGAGGAAGGAATTCCAATTAACAGCTTTGAACAAGCCACGGAATGAAATAAAGGATCAAATAAAGATTCGAAGCAGAGATGTAGCCAAGGTCCACGCTGCTTTAGTAGAAGTTAGGCGTTTTACCATCTTCCGTCAGTCAATCTGGCTGAAAGCCGATTCCAGATACTGGGCCACTTGCCCTCAACATGCTTGCCCTCAACATGCGCCTTTCTTCGTGGTTGTATCTTGTCCCCCAGCCTCGAAAAGAGACCTGAGTTTGAGCAGAAAAGAAAAGCTGGATAGGCAACTTCGTATCTCTGCCTTTGACTTACTGCTTGAGCCTAAATCCCCCTGACTCATATGGCTCTGTTCAACTCTCTTCGCCCCTTATGAAGCAGAGGGCTATTGTGTGTAAAAAAAACCAAAACATTGTGGCCTTGAGTCAAATTTACTTCAGCCTAAATGCTATTTGCCTGAGTTCCCTCAGAAACCACCTGTTGTTCAAGTGTTTCTAATAACCAGTTCATTTTAGGATTGGAACTGAGTCCAAGTAATTCCGCTCAAGAACACAACCTTGGAGATTTGGGGAACGTCTTAGCGGAAAAAGCACAGGGGACCAAATTAATGTCCTCCATACACTGTGAGCAGGCAACAAATGTCTTAAAGTACTGAATGGGGGGAAAAAAGTTTCATCAGTGTAAGAAGCCCAGAAAGTCGGTTGTGTAGTTTTTCTCCTAGCTGCTGAAAAAGTTGGGATTCACAAATGTTGTGCATATGCACGCGTGTTGGGTTTGGAGAAAAAGTGTGCCTATGTGTGTGTGTGTGTGGGGGGGGGGACTGGATCTTGTTAAACAAAAATAAATGACTTCAGAGAACGAAGAGAAAAGGTGTTTTTAAAGTCCAGACCGGGCCATTTAACCAGTGTGTATGTTGTGTGTGTGTGTGGGGGGGAGGGTGTTCGGTCCAGGGGGACTTTTTCTAAGTAAACAGGGGTCAGGCCCGACTCAGCTCTTTAACTGTTCCTTCTGGGCTGGAAACGGATCTCTCGGGATCCCAGGCGCTTCCCCTAGATCCCAAGCGTCCAGAATGGGAGGGCAGGTTGCCGTGTGGTTCAGGTCGAGAGGAGGGGCTGGTCGAGCAGAAAAGGGGATTTATTTCTCTCTCCCCCCCCCCTCTGTTCTTTCCGACGGAAGCAATCGCGGGGACGGTGGGGCGGCTGCAGGGAGGTGCAGGCGGGTCGGTCTTGGGGAACGTCGCAGAGCGGAAAAGAGGCCCGGAAGGTTGTGCTTTAAAAAAAAAAAAAAAAAGCGGGGACACCCCCCCCCCAAGGAAGAGCGCCCGCTTCCTTCTGGCCCTGCCGGGGCCCAGGGCTTGACAAAGGGGTTTTTTTTTCCAAGGGAGGCACCCCGCTCCCTTCGCGGACCAGTGGCTGCGCTGCTGAGCAGTTGGCCCAGGGTTGCTATGCTAATGAGGCGGCGACTGGGCGGTTGGTGAAAGACGAGTGGGAGACGGGAAAAGTTTCGACCATTAGAGGGAGATCTCCGAGCGGGCACGGGAGATCGCCTCCGCCTCCTCCGCCGCCGCCTCCGCCTCCTCCGCCTCCTCCTGCTCCAGCACTCCGGCGGGCGCGCTCTGCATGCCAGAGGAGAGCGCAAAAGCAGGCAGGCAGGGCAAACAGCCTCGTCCTCTCTCTCTACCTCTCTCTTCCTCTCTCTCTCTCTCTCTCCCTCCTTTTCTTTCTGTCTTTCCTTCTTTCTTTCTTCCCCCCTCCCCCCCCCTCTCTCGCCCTCTCGCCTCTCGCCACGCCAATCCATGAAAATGCTTTGGAAACTGACGGATAATATCAAGTATGAGGAATGTGAGGTAAGCGCTTTCCGGCGACGGGGGCCACCAGGAAAGAGGACCCCTTCCTCCCGCCCCCCCGTCTCTCTCTTCCCCCTAAGAGAGAGAGAGAGAGAGAGAGAGAGAGAGAGACAGAGAGAGAGAGAGAGAGAGAGAGAGAGAGAGAAAGAAAGAAAGAAAGAAAGAAAGAAAGAAAGAAAGAAAGAAAGAAAGAAAGAAAGAAAGAAAGATTGCCAGCTGCGATTGGAAAACACCTTGCAGCACCCAACGAAGCTTTGGGAGACCAACTTCTTCACTTGCCGGCTTGGCAAATGGGGAGACGAGGGGCGGGTGGAATCGAAAAGGGGCAGGCGGAGGATGCACGCCTGTGCGGTGGGTGGTTTAGGGGAAAAAAAAAAAAAAGATCTTTGCCGAAGCACGCCGGGAGGGGAGAAAGAAAATACACCCCCAGGGATCTTCTTGCAAAGGCTCCGCACCCCAACAGCGACAGGGAAAGGGTCGAGAAAATGGAATGGATGAGCAAAATGAATGAGGAAGAGCAAAGGGACCACAAGGCAAAATGAAGCGGTGTTTTTAGTCAGTACCGAGATCCCCAGGATCTCCTAAAGAGATCCATCGCGTCGCTCCCAAAAGAGTTGCCTTGGATCCACAGGTCTGGTGTTGCAGACTTGAGAGAGGCATTTCTCTGATATGGAGAGTTGTTATTTCTGCGCCAAACCTCTTCTGCTGCTGCAGCTTCCCTGTTCTTCTCAGCCCTTGGGTTAGAATTGGAGGAGGAGGGGGAGGGAGGGGAGGGGGGGATGATGTTGAGGAAGGCAGTGTGGCTTTAAGCTCGCTTTTTAAAGTCGAAAGCGGAGCCTCGTAGGCGTTGCTGGTGGGAGATGCTCTGAGTAATTCAGATGGTGTGGAGAGGAGAGAGAGAGAGAGAGATGGAGAAGTACCGCCTAAGTAAGATGCCGGAAACAATCTGTTGGTAAATTTGTGCCCATGGGGTACCTTGGTGATAGATCTTGCACAGATGTATTTATATTACAGGGCAGAGTATGGTGTGAAACGATAAATATTTGGATACATGGAAAACGTGGATGAAAAGGCAGAAGAGCATGGGTCACTTCAGTAAAAGTAGTTTGCTGATTAAATAACCGCGCATCCTCCATGTGATCCTAGAAAGGTAGGGGGTTTAAATGCTAGGGTGTTCTCTTTGTGAATTGCAAGAACGACCGCTGAATCTTTCATTGGGATTGACTCTTCCAAATTCCTTGAGGGTCTTTGTTTCCATTCCAACCCTACCTTTAGGCGTGCAGTAGAAACACGAGCGTGTACGTATAGTTCTTGCCGTTGTTAATTCTGTACACACAAGCTAGAATCCGGCGAGCGCCAGTTTGGAAGATGAATTAAGAAAACCAGCGTTCGGGCTGGGATGGAGATTTTTGGCTGCTTTGGAGTGGTGAGAATCTGGCTACAAATGTAGAGAGAGAGCAAGGACAGGCTCTCTCTTTCATTGAACGTGTGAATGGAGAAAGTTACACGGTTCTTTGCTCCGCGGTCATTTTTCGGGTGAAACCGTTTCCTTCTTCGCAGCCTTTACAAAAGCCGCGTGTGGGATTCCCACGCTTGTGGCTTCAGACTCAGGCAAATAAACCAAGAGGTTCGGAGGCTGGCTTAGAGTGGTGTTCGGGGGCAGGGTACGTGTGGCTGATACTTGCCTAGCACAACGGGGTTCAAGCGGCACGCCTGCCTCGGAGAGACAGCGGCTACAACTAGCTAGCTTAGGTCAGGGCTTAAAAATTGACCCGGGCTACTGGAAATCCCCGTTTCCTTGGGAATGCCTGCCTCGCGGCTTGCCTTTCTTAGGTAAGTATGCCTTGAAGCCGAACGAGAAAGAGCGGAAGATAAAGCTAAATATAATCACTTGGATTACATTCGGTTGTATGTATGTATTTATTTATTTATTTAAAGTCGGGCCTCAGGGCAGCTTTTGGGGAACTCGCGAGTGTTTTGATTGGCTTCCACCTTTTCGCTAAACGCGCTTGGCCTCGGGCTGCAGTCCTTTACGTGCCTCCACTTTTCGGTTTTTCTGTCAGTTGCCGGATTTATTTATGGTTTTTTTTTTTTTTTTTAAAGTCTTCATTTGACTTCCGGTTCTTTCGGCTGCTGGGCAGCGCCCCTTTCTTTTTTCTTTTTTTTTTTGCTGAGGTAACCTCGACAGCAGCAGCGGAAGGCGGCGGAGGGCAAGCAGCTGGCGACGACCAAGGCTTTATTTTTATTTTTCCTTTTTTCCCTCATGCCTCGGGTGAGGCGTGTGCCCCAGGAGTTGTGCCGAGGCCTGCTTGCTTGGCGGCAAAAAAAAAAAAAAAAAAAAAAAAGCCTGTTGTTATGATAAGTTGGCAGGAAAAGTGGAGCAGGCCTGTCATTTCCCCGGATTCGCTGGCTGGGAGCTGCCCAGCCAGTTGGACGGGTTGGGCCCAGCCTGGAAGCCCGAGCTTGTCAGGGCCAGTAAAGCGGCAGTCGCCTCCCTTTTTTTTCCCCCCTTCCCTCCCTCCCTCCCCACCCCCCCCGTCTCTTCGCCACCCTCTTCCCCGGTCTTCAGTCCCAAAGGGGGGAAGGCTCCTCTGGGCTCCCAGGAGGCGGAGAAGAGCTCCACGGCCCCGATTCCCTGGGGACTTGAGCGCCTGGGGAGACGGGATCCCACGCGCCCAGGAGGGAGGGAACAGCCCTCCTCCTCTGCTCGGGGATCCGGCCAAGGCCCGCAGCGCCAGGGCCTCCTCCTCCTCCTCCTCCGGGCCCTCCAGTCATGGACCTGACGCAGCAGGACGCCGCCGGAGCGGAACTGCCGGGCCCGCCTGAACTCCGGCAGCTGAAAGCCGGGGACCCCAAGCCGGAGCCAGACAGCAGCACCTCTGGGGCCAAGAGGGGGGCCGGAGCCCGGCAGTTGCTAGCCCTGTCCTTTGAGGCGCCCGACTTCACCCAGCCGCCGCTGCCGCCGCCGCCACCGCCGCCCGAGGTGCGCCTCCCATGCCTTGAGCTTGGTTCCTAGCGCGGCTTCCCCACTGCTGTGCTGCCCCTTTTGCCGGGGAACCCCTCCTCTGCCCTCCCCTATTCGTCCTTCTTTCCCTCCTCTCTCCTTCTCCAAGTTTTTCAGCGGGCCCTCTTTCCCAGTTTCCTTTTCCTCGTTCTGCTTTTCAGGGCTCGCTCCTTCCTTCCTTCCTTCCTTTCCTTCCTTCCTCCCTCCCGCCCTCCAGTGCCTTTTCCCACCCCTCCTCTTTCCCCTGGTCTCTCCAGATCCTTTTCCCACCCATTCTCTCTGCACCTTTCTCCCTTTACCGTGCCTGCCTTGGCTTGCCTCGATCCCACCCGTTTGCTCTCCCTGGCTCTCTTTCTCTTTCACTTCTGCCTGCCCTGCAACCTTTTAAAATGTTGCCCCTTTCCTGTGATTCGTCAGACGCAGCAACGGCATGACTCCCCCCCCCGTCCCCTTTCTCTCTCTCGCTCGCTCGCTCGCTCCCCCCACCTCTGATTAGATACACTGATTCTTCATTCAATGGACGTCATTTAGAACAGCCTCTGCCTTGAGTTGCTTCCTCGCTTCACGCTCGATTTCCAGCCATTCTTCCCTTATTAAGTATTCGTGTAGTATTAATAGTCATGAATATCTGCTATTAGGAGTCTTAAGGAAAGCAGGCAGCAGCTTCCTCTCCCTCTCTCTCTTTCTCTCCCTCCCTCCTTCCCTCTCTCTCATTTAGGAACTCACGTGCAGCAGTAAAAGGAGGGAGGGAGGGAGGGAGGGAGGGAGGGAGAGAGAAAGAGCGTGCGAGGTGGGGACTAACGCGCACACACGCACACCACCCGCAAACGGATTAAGGAACACACACGCACGCGCGCGCGCGCGCGCGCGCACCCCGACTCAACTTTGAATCGTGAACTCTCACGCCAAGGATCCGGCTCTCGCCTTCGCTGCTGCAGAACGCGGGGCCATTCTGTGGTGGACTGATGGATTATAGGCGCGCGTGCCCAGTGCTGGCGGACAAGTCTGGGCGTTGGGGACTCGGGGTGGTCTAGACCCGGGCTCCTTCCATTGTGCGTGCGTGTGTGTGTGTGTGTGTGTGTGTGTGTGAGAGAGAGAGAGAGAGAGAGAGAGAGAGAGAGAGAGAGAGAGAGAGAGCGCTGGTGTGCAAGAGGGAGAAAGAGAGAGGGACAGAGCAAGAGTACAGCTAGGAAGCGGGCGAACGAGCGAGACCTTAAAGAGCCCACTTTTCTCTGCCTTTTTTTTTTTTTTTTCCTGCCCTGACTTGGTCCCCTCGAATCCGCGCAGATGTTAGTTCACAGTTTCTCAGCGATGGTGAGTGGCTTCTGACTTCTCTATCTGGGATGGGTGGTTGGGAACCTTGTCACCCTCATGCTTTTCCTCATCTTTTGGGGTGGGTGGGTGGGGGAAAGGGTGGCCGGGTGTCAGCTCCTGCCGAAACCTCTCCTCTCTCTGTGTGTCTTCCCCTGTGCTCCGTTTGCAAAAGCTTCTTGGGTCATTCATTACTTTGGCTGCTTCAAGTAAACTACAAAAGGCTAGCCATGCTTCCACACCCGTCCATTGTGTTTTGTTTTGCTTTGCGTTTCCCCTCCCCTTCCGATTGGGTTTCCACCTCTTCTTTCCGCTCTTGTCCTTTCCCGGGTTAATAACGCTCCTCGGGAGACTAAAGTCCAAGGCATTTAACAGCACCTTATTATTATTATTATTTCCCCGCTACCTCTCCCCCCCTCCTCCTCCTCCTCCTCCTCCTCCCCCCTCCCCGACTTCTATTTGGATGGCTGTTAATTTCCTTGAGACGTACCTGCGGGCTATAATTTCATAATTTACCAAGTCCCGGTTGAACAGAAGCAAAAAACCTCTTGCATTTTTTTTTCTCCCCTTCAGCTTCATCTTTATGTTTCTCTTAATTTTGCTGCCTGGTTGTTTACGTATAATATGATTTGCATGTACACGTATCTGGATGTGTGTATGTCTGTGTGCATTTACACGCGCACATACATACGAGGCTGGCTGTCCTGTATATATTACATTACGATTTGTAAATGCTAGATTTGTAAATGCTGTCTTATGGCATACTTATATTTAAGTATTTTCCTCCAAAATGCTGTTCTTTTTTCCCCCGGGGCATTTTTTGGTGCCGTTTTCTTGGGGAAAGAGAAGACAAATGCAACAACGGTTCACTCTCACTTTTTAGAGCCAGGAAACGAGTCATTTGTGTGCCCTCTTTCACTTCTTTTCGACAACGGTGCCCATAGGCTTTTTTTAAAAAAACAAAGGTTACACACACCCACAGACGTGCACGCACGGAGAATACACACCAGTCTTCTTGAAGGGGAAAAAAAAATCTTCTGGATCTGCTCTTAGGAGGAGAATTTTGTTCGTTTTTTCCCCACTGGAGTTCCCCCCCCCGCCCCCCCCGTTGTTAACTGGAATTCAAGCAGCTCCATTTAGACGAGGCTGTTTTTCTGCCAGACGGGAATATCTCGAAGGCTGCTTTTGACTCTAGTCTGAACGCAAATATAGTTTTTTTTTTAAATAGGGTGATAAACATTTGGCCTAATCCATAGTTTGATTTTGACCTTCTCTTCTTTTTCTCTCTCTGGTCTCCCTGTCCCCTTTCTCGTGTTCTTACTCATCAGGACCGCCACGATGCTACCAGCAATGGGACAGCCCGGCTACCCCAGCTGGGGACGGTGGGCCAGTCCCCCTACACCAGCGCACCTCCGCTCTCGCATACACCGAACGCCGACTTCCAGCCCCCCTATTTCCCACCTCCATACCAGCCCATTTACCCCCAGTCTCAAGACCCGTATTCCCACGTTAACGATCCGTATAGCTTGAACCCTCTTCACGCCCAGCCTCAGCCCCAGCACCCGGGCTGGCCGGGACAGAGGCAAAACCAGGACACGGGGCTTTTGCATACGCACCGCGGACTTCCCCACCAGCTCTCCGGCTTGGATCCCCGAAGGGATTACCGGCGGCATGAAGATCTCTTGCACGGACCTCACGGCTTGGGCTCAGGATTAGGAGATATTCCCATTCACTCGATACCTCACTCGCTGGAGGACGTGCCGGTAAGAAGACCCGCGAGGTGGGGGAGGCGGCTTCCAGCCGGCTTTTGTTTTTTTCTCCTCTCGCCCTGCCACGCTTCCTCTCCTTCCTCCCCTCCCCCGCTCCCCACCAGTGGGTGGGAATTACAGGGTGCGTTTCAAGCCTCCAGCCTTCACCGTCCATGAAGGCAAGCGGCAATTGTGTCTCGTGGGTTGGCAATCAGAGTTGAATGGTCTCCCGCCACTATCTTTGTTGCTAATGCCCGCTGCAGAAAAAAACAAACAGTTCTTTGCTTTTGTTGATGGAGGAGTGGAGGGGCTGAGAGAGGAAGAGAAGGAAAGAAGGAAGGAAGGAAAGAAGGAGGGAAGGAAGGAAGGGAGGGAGGGAGGAAGAGAGACATTAAAACCAGAAGATCCCTGACTGGTGTCATTGGCCATGCTGCCTTGCTGATGCTCCCTGACAAAGCGGGGTAACTCTTGAAAAGGCTGTGTCGCTTTAGAAATGCCTGGCCTTCGGTCGGATTTTCGCTGGCTTGAAAAAGAAAGCAAACCCGACCCAAATCGTTCTTCCCATTTCGGAGCTGCTTGTTGGGAAGGTGGGGAGGAAGAAGAAGAAGAAGAAGAAGGAGAAGAAGAAGAAGAAGAAGGAGAAGAAGAAGAAGAAGAAGAAGAAGAAGAAGAAGAAGAAGAAGAAGAAGAAGAAGAAGAAGAAGAAGAAGAAGAAGAAGAAGAAGAAGAAAAGAGAGAATCTCTATGAATCGCAATTCTTCGGATTGCAAACCTAGCGTAGGAAATGGTCTAGGCCCGCCACCCCCACACAAGAGAAAAAGAACAATGTGCTGCTGTTGCTATTGTTGTTATGATTTTAACTCAGATTTTGGAGTGCCTTGAATGTTTTTTTGATTTGAGTCAGGATCTGGTTTCCCTTATCTGCAAATATAATTTGAAAAGAAAGCTGGTGTCTCTCCTCCCGTCTTTAACGTCCTAGAGCCCTTCATAGCCAGGGGCAAGCACCATCTGAGCCTGGCTGCAAAAGGGGGTCGCTTCTTAGAAAACTCCCCTACTGAATGCAGGCTTTAAACAAACCAGCAATTTTACTCCTGCTTCTTGTGCTGCTTACGTTGGATAGAAAACATTTGTGGGCAAGAGGAAAGGAAGTTTCTAATGTTAGCCTAGGATTTGTTTTGGTTCCCCTTGCTAAAATGTCACCGCAGATTACTGGATCAAATATTACCGTAGTATGTTCACTGACAGTTTAATGATTTCCAATTTCATGTTGCAAGGATAATTTTGCGATGGGTTCCTTTAAGAAAGCGATTTCCCCATCTCCTTTATTCCTTTCCCTTTTATTAATCCATATGGGAAGAAGGCGGGAATTCATTACAGCCCAATTCTCTTCTTCCTCCCAAGAAAATTGTGCTTAGGTTTTGTTTTGCAAAAAAGCAATACTTCACTTAAAGTACCCGTGTCTCTGTGGGAATTGGGGGCTTTTGGAAAAAAAAAAAAAAGCCACACCAGTTAGTTTTCTTTTCATTCAGAAGAAAACAACGGAAAGGAAACCTGGTTTGGAACTAGGGTTTCTTGGGGGGGGGACCCAGTTTGAACCAGCCCTTATAAGTAAAAACAGTTGCACCGAAATCAGGGGCAACTTCCACTGGTGTTTTGTTTTAGGTATCAAGTTGCAAACGATTTGATTTTGCTGAGATTTCAGTGGCCGGGAGAATTGTATGTGCGATTTTTTAAAATAATAAATGTAGGTTATTTTATTATCCCAGCAGTTACGAGATCTCTGGCCCATTTTAAGAAAGGCCGTTACCAAGTAGTTTAAGATAAAAAAAGACTTAAGCGGGAACACCTCCCTCTTTATTCAGGGTCGACTATTCCCAAAGCTGGTAAATCTGATCCGTTTTAAAAAAAAGGGAAACCATTGATCTTAGAGGGAGGCGGGCGGCGTCGCGTTAGGATGCGGGCTTTGACAATGGAATAGAGAGCGGCCTTGCAAAGGCAATTCCGTGGACACGGAGCTAATGAAGTTCGTTGAAAATAATTTTCATGGTAGGAAAGGCTATTTTCAATTTTTCTCCTGCTACCGCACTTAGCCATTGATATAAAAGGCGGCTGCTTAATACGGAATACTTGCTAAGCCGAGGGCGAGAATTATTTAAACATAAGTATCTCGGCGGGATTTTAAAACCTAACAGTCGGTGGCTTCCCTAGACTCTGCCTAGGTGAGAAAAAAAAATCAGACAAATAAAAACGTTACGCCCCACTAGATTTTCTTTATAGGTTTAGGACTGTTTTCTTGAAGGCATATTTGCCCATGTAGTAAAAAAAAAAAAAAAAATTCCAAGAAAACGGCAGCCGTAGTCATTTCTGAACATTTCTCAATTTAATTATGCTCAAATCCAGAAGCACTTTAGGCAAGTTACAAATGAGAGCGCTGAGTACAATAAAACCTGTAATAAAGCAACTTCGTACCATCCACCCGGAATCATTGAGATCAGGCACAATTAACAGGAGCATAAATCCAAGACAGAATGGAAAATGTTAGACTCGGTATTATTATTGTTGGACGGAGACTTAGCGAAGGAGGGGAAGGGGGCTTGGGGGGGGGGTGTCTCCATAGGCGCCTGTGCGCGCGCACCTGCCCTAAAATAGCAGCGCTGAAGTTCGGCGGGCGCAAGGGGCAATTCTCGAGCTCAGCAGAGTTAGTGCGAATTTGTAAACCACAGACAGACACATTAGAATTCAGGGGTCCTCAACCTTGGCAACTTTTAAGACTTGTGGACTTCAATTCCCAGAATTCCTCAGCCAGCAAAGCTGGGAACTGAAGTCCACAAGTCTTAAAGTTGCCAAGGTTGAGGATTGACTGTCAGTTTGGGAATTAGAAAACGCGATTTTCATTTTGCTTTCTAATCACGTCTGAAACTCAAGCGCGCGCCGCCCTCGCGTGCACGGAGCATCAAGCCTTCGGAGGAGCAGAATTTAAAAGCAGCGGGCAAATACCGCTTGGGACTAGAAGGGAGCCAGAATTGCTATGGGCTTCAGAGAGCCTGGAGGTTTAACCTCCCCTCCTCTGTTTCTCTCCCCTCCCCATTTTCTGCATATTTGCCTCGGTTTTCTGCACGCAGGGGTAGCACAAAAACATTCTTCTAGAATCTTACTACAGTGTTAACCTCCATTTAAAAATAACACAAAGAGCCCGGAAAGCTTTCCCTTAAAATGCGTATTGCAGAGTGAGAGGCGCTGATAAAAATTCAGTTTAAGCCAATGTGCGTTAAAAAGCACGGTAGGGTGGATAATTCATGCCCATGCACTTAGGGGGCCTGAATTATAAGTAAGTTCAGGCATTCAGGTAATTGCTATTGAAATCAGTGGGACCTACTTTTTGTCTGAGCAGATGCCACTAAAGGGAGGGCTGTCCCTAAACGTAGCCATTTCTGCTTTTCAAAGATTCCGTGTAACTGGAACCCAGTATTTGCTTTTTAAATTAAAAAACGTCAATATGTGGAAATGAATATTATTCTATTTTTTAAAAAAACACCAAACTAGTTAAGGTATAGGGAAATAAAGAGCTTCGCGGGTTCGGTGTGTTTAGAAATTCATATCCCTTTTGTATTGCTTTTGTTGCAGCACGTAGAGGACCCCGGTATTAACATCCCAGATCAAACTGTAATTAAGAAAGGTAAGCCACTTCTTTAGCATTCCAAGCATGTCCCCACAAGCTTGATACCGAAGCTGAGAGAACTTACTAAAGCGATTGTTTCTCCCCCTGCCCCCTCCCTGTAATTTACAACAGAGCTGAAAATGGAAAACGAAATTGACAATCTCGGTTGATAACTCTTTTACTTAATCGCACCCTCTGTATATGTATGATTATATTATCGAGCTAAACAGATCCATGTTTTAGCTGTTCCTAATGACACTGTGGCTCAGAACTGACTTCTAATTTCTTTAGTTGCCTTGAAAGTATGTTTCATTAGCTAAGAAAGCGCCAATCCCGTTCGGTTTCCCCCCCCCCGCCCCTATCCCTCCCCCCCTTTCAGGTTGAGGAGATTGTTCTGGATTGTTTACATCAGAGGGCTTTGTTGTAACAAGCGAGCAGGATGGCGGAAGGGTACTCGCTTGCTTAGCCTGCTCTCTGCAACGGAGGCTGTGGTTCGCTTGTCCTGATTTCAGCTGCTTCCTCCTAATGTCTTGTTGCACTTGTTTTTTGTCTGGAAGGTAGCGTCCTCTCATCTCCCAAACTTTGTCTGGCTTCGGAATTTAGTTGTTTTTTTTTTAAAAAAGTATTCGCGATGTTGGCAGCAGAGCAGAACGGTTGGCTTTAATTTTAAACCCTGTTCAGGGAAATGCCGGATTCTGATCATTTGGTATGAAAGGTTTGGGAAAGGGCCAGTGCGGCTTTCTTATATATTAGCAGGGACTTGTGCTTTATAAAACAGTACTTCCTTGAAAATCCTCAGCACTACACAATGAAAGCTAAAAAATTTTTTTACCCCTCCTCCTAGTCTGGAGAGTCTTTGTCACGTCAAATTAGATGTGCAAGGAATAAATCTTAAAGTGATGCTCTTTCCAAGTCGACATGATAATTGGCTCTTTTATTAGTAATCTCAAGAGTTCGTTTAACTCCTATTGTCTCTATTAGCCTCCCCAGAGCTATTAATGTCACAAGTGATCTATCCGAAACCTAGATATCCCTCCTCCACGCTCCACCCTTCAACATTTGGATTAGACCTATTAAAGTGGAAATGCAAAGTATATGAGTGTAGGATAAAGGACAGGAGGAATAATCAGATGCTGATAAAAGAGTAAATATTTATAGTGTAACCAGGTCGGAACATAGTGCCTGTCCATTTGCTTTCAAACAAGACTGCCCTTATTTTTCAATGATGTTAGCCAAACTGAACATGCAAAAAGATTTGGGAGAATTTTACCCTTTCCCTGTATATTTTAATAATGCTCTGGAACTTTCATTAGGGGAAAAGTGAAAGTTGTGTCAAGGAAGTTTCTTTTCTTTTTGGGAAACAGATGGTAGGAAGGAGGTAGACCAAAAAAATATATCAATTTTTCTTTATTTTGTTTCGGGGGTAATTGTTAAAAGAAAATTGTACTATTACCTTTGAAAACAGTAATGAAAATACCTCTTTGGCGCCTCTTTCCAATATAAAAAGTTGCAATTGCAGAAAATGTGACATCTAATCCAATTACTTTGAAACTATTCAATTGGAAGTACTAGGGGCTACTCTAGTACAAATTAAACCCACAAGCCGCGTAGCTTGTGGCATTACATTCTCCCAAACAAGCGAAGGTATATTATGTGATTGTCTTTTATAAATATTAGTAACAGGGAATACGTCTTCTTCCCGTAATCCTTTCGGTATTCTTAACGCTTTAAGACCGTGTATGCTTAAGTTTACCAGCGATTTGTTGTTCCTAGAATAATTTAGGACAGAGGAGGCAATTTTAACCCCACCTCCTCTCTCCACCCGTGGAAAATCCTTAATTTTGATCCAATCCTGATTTAGACTGATCCTTCAACGGGGGCTGGGAACTAGCCAATCCAGACGCTGAAACTTGTTTTGTGTGCTTCTGCCTGAAAAGATTCGCTTACTTTTTTACTATGTACCCAAAGAACAGAGAGCTGGACTTTTAAGCAAGGGCTCGGAGCCCCTTTGGGCTTCCCTCTTCTTCTCCCTCGCGTTTCCCCTCAAACGCTGAGAATTTAAAATGTGAGGTTCTCTCCAAAGGTCATCTGTGGCTAGGTCAAGTAATGTATATAGTCCGGGCCAAGTTGCTGCGCAAGGAATTATATTCCACCCTACCTCACCCCAGTTTGTAAACGAGGTTCCCCACCCCCATTTTTCTTTTTCTTGTCCGAAGTCGATGTTGCCGAGTGTGGACGATGCGTACTGTACTCGCGAAGGGGAGGGAGGGAGGTCTGGGGTGAATGGTGCTGGCCAGGCTAAGCCGCTCTCGGTTGTTGGTTTTCAAAGCAAAAAGACGGACGAAGAGGAGAGGAGGAAGGGGCCGCCAGCCTTGGGGCTACCTCTTATTCCAAAACACTTCCCCTCCCCCCCCCAGCGCCGCCATTCTCGTTGTTGCCCATCTGCCATCATCTCTCAGCCACCTTTCCCGGCTTGTTTTCATCCCCTTCCCCCACTCCTGTCATCGCCCACGTTTCCCAAGCCTGCCGCCCCACCATCGCCTTAGGCTCCTAGCAGCTGCTAATCCCTTCAGCGTTTGTGCACTAACGCGGCTCTGCCTTCCCTCGGCCTCCCTTCTCCCCTCTTCTCTCTTCCCTCCCCCCTTCTGCAGGCCCCGTGTCCCTCTCCAAGTCTAACGCCAACGCCGTCTCCTCCATCCCCATCAACAAGGACGCGCTCTTCGGCGGCGTGGTGAATCCCAACGAAGTCTTCTGTTCGGTGCCCGGCCGCCTGTCTCTGCTCAGCTCCACCTCCAAATATAAAGTCACCGTGGCGGAAGTGCAGAGGCGCCTGTCCCCGCCGGAGTGCCTCAACGCGTCTCTGCTGGGCGGAGTGCTACGGAGGTGAGGCGGACTCGACAGAGCTGGGCTTCTCGGCGGCGCGCGAGAGAACTGAGGAGGGAAAAGGCCAGGCCGTCTTTTAGCCCTGGATTCGCTGCGAAAGGCAATGTGGCGGGAAGGGAGCCCATTGGCAGAGAGGGTGTGCACGTGGTTGCGGTGTTCAGTCTCAGCCAATCATCTCTTTCCCCAAAGGCTCCAGCTCCCACCTCTTTTCCTCCCCACCTATTGTTTAATTTCTCACAGTGAGTGTACCACCTCGCATTTTGCCCCCCACCCCCGCGCACATCTTCACTCTTTTTCCAAAGCTGCTTTTCTCCTTTTTTTATTTTTTTTATTTTGTTTTACAGAAGGTAGCTGCTGTTACTGGGAGGAGAAAATAAAGCTTTTCTTCCCAATATACAAATGCCACTTCGTCTATTATCTGCTGCAACGTTCTGGGCTCCCTCAGACATTGCTGGTTTTAACTTCTGCTCCACATTTTTTTTAAAACCCCATTTGCTTTGTTTTGAACTTCATTGTGGGGTTCCTGGCTCATTCTTCATCTTTATTTTTCACTGTGAAAAATAATTTTTAATAACATATTTTGAAAAGAAAAGGCTGCTTAGAGTACTCTTGTGTTAAGTGTTTTCTCATAATTCCCTCACGTTCATTTCCTCAGTAACCATTTCCCCTTGTTTGGTGGAATTAATGGGAATATATCTCAAAGCTCCATGTTTTGAGATCAGAACCACAACCCTTCCACATTTTCCTTTAAAAATAACTCTAGGATCTTTGGGTTTTGCTATTCCCTTCAAGTCTCCAAATCTTGCATTTGAGTTTCAGGTCTTATTTTAGAATACACAATATGAAAGAAGCTACCTATATCTCAATATTAAATCTGCATCGGAAGTAGAATATTTCAAAGGACTGTGATTAAAAAAAAGTAGTATGAATTGCAATATATTTATTGAAAGTACAATGGCAATTAGAATAATTAATATTAAAGAGTTTTCATTGCTGTCATTATCTGTAGCCTGGACCATAATACAGCACAGCATCATGTATCTGTGGAAATTAGGCTGCATTCAGTTAAAAGCAGGCAGCATGTCCTGTTAATGAGACCAACTCATACAGCCAACATCAGCAATCATAGGAAGGACCCTTTAGTGTAGCAAGGTCACTCATCCTAGCATAGCTTGTTGAAAGCTCATATACACCAGCTGAGGGCACTGCCAGCATTACTTTCCTGAGGAAGGCCAGTGCAAGAGGGGAACTTGGCTAGGAACATATTTATGAAAAAGTCATTAAAAATATCTCACACTAGTGTGCAAGATAAGAGATATCTTTCCTGTTTAATCTGTTTGCCAGATTGAATGTAGTATCTATAATGAAGGGCAAATGATGATTGTAAATCTTACATAATGCAAGGAAATCTGGCTAAAATACATCTTCCATTGGTTCACAACTACGCAAAAACCTCAGTGACTATATGCTTAATTACAATATATAAACGTATTTTATTAAGCTTGTGAGTGTAATTAGTGTCCACATACAATTTGCATATGACATTGTAAGAATATAAAAGATTTAACTATCTGTTTAACATGTGTAGTTATTTTGGTGTATTTCAATGAATCTTGTACAGAAGTGTATAACTCTATAGCATCCAAATTTAATTTTTTCCCTATTAAACTTACTAAATTATATTAATAAACATGTATAAATTTATAGCAAAGTATCTGAAAAAGTTGCAGTATGAACCTGAAGGTACTTCTGTCTTAAGTGCTGTTGTCTTTTTAATATGTGGAACAGGGCAAAATCAAAAAATGGAGGGAGATCTTTGAGAGAAAAACTGGACAAAATAGGATTAAATTTGCCAGCCGGGAGACGTAAAGCTGCTAATGTTACCCTGCTGACATCACTAGTGGAGGGTAAGTGATGGCTTTTTGGCAGTAGGAAAGGCATTATTTGGAAAATGTTTCTTTTTGTTAGCTGAAGAAAACAAACCTTGTGGAGTTGACCCTGAAATGTTTATGCATATTGTTTACTTTAAATCATTATGGTCAGTATGACCTTTTTCCTCTTGTTTTTTTTTTTTTTAAAAGTTGACTCCAAGCCAAAATCCATTGATGTCATAACATTGGATGTGGCTTTATTGCTATTTATTTGGATTTAAACCCTTGCAATGCATTTCAGAGTTGGATGCTAAACCTCAGTGAAATGAATGTAACCAAATTGGCATGCAGTATAATGTTTCACTTTAACCAGGTTGCTAGTTGATTGATCACTTGGATTAAAAAGTAGGACTGAAAACATTAATAGAGTAAACATAACTAATGGCTTAATTTATTAATCACTGATTGACATGGTGGATTTTAATTGGATTTTAATCAGTGTAATCCCAAGTGAAAGGGGCAAAATAGTGACATATACAATTATATATATCTTGATTCACATAACAAGGATTTGGGTTATGATGGTTTTCCATACAATGCATGATTGAAAGAAAGCTGCTGCTCTTCAACAGCATCTCAACATTTAATAGATTAATTATCATGCTAAGGCATATAACTGGGCTATAATTTATAAACTTATAAAGTAGAGTTAGAAAACATATAGTCATGCTGAAAATTATTTAGTTCATTTACCACGTAAGATAGTCGCTCCTTGTATGCATGTTATTGTAAATATGTTTAGGAAATGAACAGATTTTAATATTTACAAATATATTAAAGGCAAACAGTTCATCTATATTATATAGTTAACAGAAGATCCAATTATAAGTCCTATAAAATTAATTTAGACTGAAAATCAGATTGAATATAACAATGTTAGTCACTTCAAATTCTACAGCCATCCCTTTGAAGACCACAGATTTATTGCATTATTTCTGCTCAGATGAATACAGCTTAAATAACTCAAAATGACTCCTTAGTATAATACCAATCCAGAGAAACATTAAGAATATAAGGATGAATTCTGAGAGCAAGTCCCTGTTCACTATTATATGAATAAAGGGTTTAAAAACATCATCTTTGAGTGAAAATGTTAATTGTTTCATTAATTGTTGGCTATAGTGAATCCCAAATAAACAGTGTGTTTTCTTTAACTTTGGTTTTATTTTTATCCTATTTAGCTCTGTCTTTATTTTCTAGTGTCTTCAGAGTTGAATGGAATATGTGTATGCACATATATAGCAGCCTACCAATCAAATATGGAAACATTATTCAGATTTAAAAAAAACTTATAAAAAACTCTATATCTATTCTTGATTCTCTGTCTTTATGCTTGATAATGGGACAACAGACACAGAATGATTGGCAGCATTACCAACCACTAAGGAGTTACCATCTCTGCTAGTTGTTTCAGAAACTAACTATATGAACAATTTTAGACCAACAGATGGGAAGGAAAAAAAAATCTGTTTAGAAATGAGATCAGGAATTTTTTATTTTATTTTGGCACATAAAAAGCATGCTGCATTAATGTGCTGTAACACGTAGGCTGGAAGATCATTTATTGGATCCAACAACACTTAAGATCTGTTTCCAGTGGTCAGGATCTCATTCTTTGCATTAAAAAGCAATAAGCATTAAAAAGTTAGATCCTATAGCTACCTTAAGATACAACTCTGTTATTTTAAGCTACATACCAGTAGCTTATTTATATTTAAATCATTTTGACATCTGCATTTGAAAAATATAGAACCTTAACTTCTTGAATTAATTTGGGAATCCTTGACTTAAACCATGATTTAATAGTGTCCTAATCTTACTGCAAGCTTCTGATCTCCTCTTTGCTTGGTATAATTAAGGAATATAGAAATGCTTTATTTTCCTTCTGTTTTAATTATGAAAAGAGGATGGGTGAATGTACTGTGTCAACATTAAAAAGTCAAAAGGGGTGGACATGTATCTTCCTTTATGTTAAAATAGTTATAAAGTTTATAATGAGAACAAGAAATACAAGGGGCATGCTAAATTGAGAATTACTTTGTAGTAGCTATTGACCCAAGGAAGTTGATGTAAGCTGTCCTATACACACAGTCTTCATTGGTTTTTAATTTTGAGGTCTTTAACCTTGATTTTGGTTATATATAGTGAATTTTCAGTCATTCTTCATGCCAAGTTAGCTGCTTACTATCAGCGTATAGCCATCTTTTCTTTTTCTTTTTTTTTGCTTGCCTTCCTTTTTTAAAAAAAATTCAAAGAAGTGAAGCTACAGCATTATAAAAATGCCAGCTTCCACTGAAAGTCCATCAAGGAGTCTTGTCATGAATAAATTGTGTATTTACATGCCACCAGCAACTAATGGGTAATCAAGGAAAGGAAAAGAAAGTTTACGAGTAGCTGAAGGAAAAATAGAGAAGGAAAAGGGGGGAAGGGGAAAAGGAGATAAATGCTAATATTATTGTGATGTTAGGGAATATTTTAAACATTTAATAAAACCTGTGATTTCAAAGAAGCGTTCATTTTTTAAAAAGCCACGGTTTGATCATCATATTACGATGAAGAGAAACACAGGAATAAGGCTAATGCATAGATAAACTAATAATAGTGGCTAATTTTTTCCCTCTCGAGAGATAATAGACGATTGTTTGGGTTGTGGTCCTTACGCGATGAGGCCGCTTCCAAAGTCCTGTTATTGTTTATGATCCGCTCCATTTTATGGAAACAAGCTCCGTGGACTGAGCCTTTGAAGCTCTAATTGGCGCATGCGTTCTTCCGGACCTCGAGCTAATGGCAGGAAGCCCTGCGGTGAAAACCAACTGGTTCAGGAAATTAAAACCAAAGATTTGAAAATCAACAAAACAGACAGTCTCAATGGAATGACCCTAAAATTCTTATGGTTAATCGTTTGAAAAGGGGGGAGAGGAAGGGAAGGAAGGATAATTATATGCAATCAAGTTAAATTTTAAGCACTTAACTATTTAATGCAGTCTATGGGGTGGGGATTGAAATAATGATCAATGATCAATATTAATCTCTAGGAACAGAATAATTATATGTTTCGTATGTTTCTCTTTTCTGTGTACATAATGTATTCCTGTAATGTAATATAAACTAAAAGCACAAATAGAAACATAGTTAAAACTTTACAAAACAGAGATAAAATACTTGGAACACTTTTGTTTGTTAAACAAAATGCCATAAATATATTGCAATGTAATTTAGGACTAAAAACTGACTACATCTACCACTTTATGAATTGCCTACTCAGCATCCCAACACCCCCAAAGGATTCTTTAGTATCAGTATTAACACGCTGATAGTTTGATTTAAAACAATGCCCCCCACCCCCGTAGCAACTTACTACCTTCAGGAAATTTCTTTAGCGCACTGAGATATTAGCCTTTTCTAAAGCAGCGCTTTACTAGTAGATTGTAAAATGCCAGTTAATCTTGATTGACTGAATATCACGTGAAGAACCCAAAGATGCAGCTAGCAAACTCTAATAACAAATCCCATAGATTTGTTGGCACGAGTTCCCCCGTTCCTGTCATCAGCTTATGCTTTTGGGTATTAATTATGTATTTCCTCCCAATCTGAATTTCAGGAGAAGCCGTGCATCTCGCGAGAGATTTTGGTTACGTCTGTGAAACAGAATTTCCTGCCAAAGCAGTAGCTGAATTTCTCAACCGGCAACATTCCGATCCAAACGAGCAAGTCACAAGAAAAAACATGCTTCTAGCGACGAAGTAAGACTTTTACCTCTGCGGAATATTCCTAAGGAAGGATTTTGTTTGTTATGTTTGGTTGTGCGCTGAGCTCTTCCTGTGGTGCATTTACATTTGTTTGCCGCGGATATATTATTCTCCGTACCTGCGTGATTGCCTTGACGAGGTAATTAAAAAGTACACATTCCTCATCGAGGGGAAACGATATTATTGCCAATGACGCTATTGCTGAAATCAAGCAGACATATGAGAATGATCCCCACCCCTCCCTCCCTGGAATGATGTTATCAGAGGCGTTCAAATGGGAAGAAAATAGCACATTTTTAATGGCAAGGTTCTGTAGATTTATCAGAGAGTAAGCCCCGTTAAGTATAGTGGGATTTATTTTGAGGATTGTAGACAAGATTGCATAGTTATTTGGAAGTAAGTAAAATTGATCTCAGTGGAACTTACATGCTAAATAAAAATGCTGAAGATTGATTAACTGTGAATTCAGGTATTAAAAGTATTTCACTTCTAAGCAACTAAAATGCCAGTGGGGTTTATTTTAAGATAAAGACTCTAGGGATAACTTAATAGAAAAGATATTCAATATTCAGGTTAGGTGGTGGGGGGAAGAGGAGAGGGAACTCTCAATTATTGTAAATGATGTGTTTGCTGGAAATTAAAATGCTTTCCCCCTCATAGTAGTTAATTACAGATGGTGATTCACCAAAGAACAGTGGGCCAGAGGGCACCCAGTTATTGGGAGAGATATACAGCTGAAATATGTCTCAATACTGGCCTTCAGAAACTCAACTGCTGCCATATATATGCCCCTAATTTTTCTTCTCTGCTGCTAGCTTATTTAGATAATGGTATGAATCTAATTTCTTAGTGGATCCCTTTATTCCAGTGCTTTGTGACCTACATAAACACTACTGCATCTTTCTAATGTCACCAAATCTTATACGAAATGAGAGTCCTGGGATTGATAAGCTAAAGAAATAGCTTTGAGAACTGTTCCCCTTCTAAATTGAAGCTTTGTTTTTTCTATAAGACTTACTCTCACATTTTATTGCTAATTTGCTGGCTAAGAATAATGAAAGTTTTCATAAATGCATGGGTCATAAGTGAAAAAGAAAGAAAAGAAAAAGTAGTGGGTGTAATATTGAGATCAATGCAACTTACTTTCAAGGAAAATTATAAGCTTATGGTGATACTTAGATCTAAAAAATAACTGTTGACTTAAAGCCAGAAGATTAGACATGAATGTTAATTACAGAATTTGTAATTAACAAGTTTTATGGGGGTAAACAGTGGATATTACTCTGGAGAAAGGAAGTAGGAGATGTGTTTTGTATCAAGGAAAAATGTGCATGCTTGTGTGATTTTCATAGAACTTGTGACATTTTTCATGTGATTATGAGGATGTGCATGTATATGAGAGAAAAAAGTTAAAACAGATGTATTGAGTATGACAGAGAAACCTCATATATCCGCAGCAGTAAATAAATGTGAGGGCATATTGGGATGAAGAAAACATTTGATGCAAACTGCTGTTCCAATAATTATTGATACAGTAGTAGCTTTGTATTATATTTTCATATTTTCCATACCGTCAGTAATCTATAAATGTTATCCTTGGGATGATATAAAGACATGGCCCTCATTTTCTGACAAAAAGTTTAAGCAGTTAGTAGCACCCTATAGGTAGGTAATGCACGCATGTAGTGCACACACACACACACACACACACACACACACACACACACATGCACACACACAGATAAATGTGGGGAAAAGATTCTAGATCCACAAGATAAGAGGGTGACCTAGTGTAAAAATGCTTCTATTTGTTGAAAGGCAAAAAAAGAAAATATTGTTCCTGGAAGAGAAGTGGATGTAAATCAGTGCAGAGGAGAAGCCAGGGAGATGAGAGAAAGTGAAAGGCTGTCACTGATGTCAATATTTCTATATAGGGCATCAGCGGTGCAGAAAGTGAGAGAGCGGGCAAAAGAGCAGAGATCCTTTCTGTGTGTGTTTGTGTGGCTTTGCTGTGGAGGCACTGACTCCTTGGCTTGCCTGCTTGCTGACAAGACTGGCTTATTTTCCTCCCTCCCTTTCTCTCTGCTCCATTTATGCTGCAGACAGATCTGTAAGGAGTTCACCGACCTGCTGGCTCAGGATCGATCTCCACTGGGGAACTCTCGACCCACCCCCATTCTGGAGCCGGGCATCCAGAGCTGCCTGACCCACTTCAACCTCATCTCTCACGGCTTTGGCAGCCCTGCTGTGTGCGCAGCAGTCACTGCCCTGCAGAACTATCTCACTGAGGCGCTCAAGGCCATGGACAAAATGTACCTCAGCAACAATCCTAATAGTCACACAGATAACAGCACCAAAAGCAGCGACAAAGAAGAGAAGCACAGAAAATGAGGATTTTCTTCTTGCAGCCCCAACCCCGACCAGCCAGCCTGGCCCTCCCTCCCTTCCTCCTCACCCTGAGGCTACAGCAAGAGAAGCTCAGAAATTTGTCCCAGCCTATTCACTCAGGAGGACCAGGAAATTCACATCTCTCTCTCCCCCCCTCCCACCATTTTCCTTTTTCTTCTCTCCTTCCTACCTCCGCCACTTCCCAGTTCATTTCCAGTTGCTATCCAGTTTGGAGCCTGAGAAAACAAAGGTGGCGATTGGGCCATCCTAAGAGGAAAAGGAAAAAAAATTTTTTTGTCGTCTGTGTGAACTTTTATTATTTTTAACAAAAATAATAAACAGTGATAAAAATAAAACAACTTTTTTTCTAAAAAAAAGAGAAAGAACTAAGTTTAAAGGTTAATAATTAATGAAATGTGGAAAAAAAATCAAACAAGCTTCATCGGACTGGATCACCACCTTCTCTTATACAAACTTCCGTTTAAGATTGTAGCCATATTTAAACAAAACAGGAAAGAAAGGATGATAATGATGATGATGATGATGATGATGACATTTTATCAGTATTGTGAATAAACTTGAACACAAACCACATGCAGTTCCATGTCATGTCTTCAGTTTTAGAACCTCTCTCCTGCCAAGGTAAAGCGACTAATTTGAACTTTCTTATGGTGACACCGATTCATAGTGCTTCTATAAGGGAATCAGTGTTCATGTATGTATATATTTATTTATGTGTAATTTAATGGGAACTGTAAATATGGTGAGTCTGTTTGAAGCTTTTTTTATTATTTATCTGGTGATCTCGTTTACCTCTTGTTTAGTGGGTTTTTAAGTCTTTCCCATCTTAGTTCCATCACTGTGGTTCATAGTTACTTATTTAGAAAATGGGAGGGGAGTTTTTTAGGGGGAGGTGGGATGGTATTTTCTGGGATACATCACTTCAGCCCTGTTGTAGCATGTTATAAAAAGGCAACAATAAAGCAGCTAAGCGATTGAAGCAACTTGGATTTTTACAAATATATTATTATTATGATACCTAGTTTCCACATTGATAAAGGAAAATAAATCAGCCGTCCAACCCAGACCGACCACCATTTCCACTGAAATAATTTAGGTTCCCCTTCCAAAAACATTTTTTCCACATGTTGATAATTTTTAACAACTCTTTGTATACTGTGGCTTTAAAAAAAGTTTATATCCAGGGTCTTTCTATTGAAAGCATAATCAGAGCAATAAGTTGATATTGTCTATTCAGATAAAGAACTGGGGATCTTCGCTTCCCTCTCCCCTTTTTCATTTTGAGTTGCCTTTTGGTTCAAAGAACTTCCATACATTGGGGACCACCTGGTATCCTCTATTTCCACCGGCCATATTGGAAGCAGTTACAGTTGTATTGTATTGAGTTGTGCTGGCAGTAGTTTCCATGCCTGTCAATGTATCATAGTCCTTTGTTGCCCAGATAAATAAATATTTGATACGCTTTATGTCGATTTTTTTTTATTCAGTGGCTGTCTTTACCCAGGCGTATTTTTGTTCTTGGCAGTATTTTTTATTCAGTATGGTTACAGTAATTGAGTTTAACTCTCCCTTGACAATTGCTCTTTGCAATAAGCAGCTGAACCCATTGTTTCCCTCAAGTATAATAAAAACTTACTTTCAAGTTGGAGTTCAGAGCAGGGTATCATTTAGATATTCCACTGAGTCTGTATTCAGACAAATTACACAATAAAACAAAATGTATTCTTTTGGATTAAAAAAAATATTGTACTGTTGAAGAAATGGCATTTTTAGTTTCCTTTAACTGAAAGGTGATTTTATTTTTTAAAAATAAAGTTTTATTTTATTTATTTGATCTTTAGGTTTTGTTCTTGCTTCCTAATTATATATCAGGGTTAGCCATTTTAAATGTTTGACATAATATGAATTGCTTTTTAATTTTCAATACCATTTAAAGGATGGGAAGAGAGTTATATCTGACTGGGAATTATGGATAACTAAGTATATTCACATACAAATGTTCATACAGAACACTTTTTTAAAAAAAAATTATGTCCATGTAAATGCATTGGATAAGTTCTCATACTAGGGAAAATAAGTAATCATACTCATCTTGATTGTCTGACATATTACTTCAGATTTATTTTAGGTTTGATTTTATGAATGTGTGCAGGTCACATTACTGTAAATATTTAATCATGATAATAGTTTTTCCAATATTGGGATGAGGAAGTTCTTATTTTGAAATGATGCATGTTTGAATTATAAGCAATACAACTTAAATTTTAGATAAGTGTGAAATATGAGGATATTCATTTGGAAGAGATGCTAGCATGCTTTTTACATTAGAAATTGACTCAAAGTACAATCTTATGAAAATTGCAGTTACACTCATTATTTCATTTTCTTTGGGTTCATATGGTACAAAGTTGGCTTTATGCAGATATGGTTTGATAGAAATAGAAGCAGGGTGTAAAATACTGATGTTAAAGTGTTATTTTTGTGGAAATACATACTTAAAATGCTGGTTTGGAGTATTGAAACTGAAGTGTTTGAGCAAACATTGTGAAACTTATTTTCAGCATGATGATTGCTACCAATCTAGATCAATTTTGTCTAATCCTGTGATAAATATTGCAAAAAGTTAAAAGTGTGATGGCATACCTGAGAAGAGAGTGCAGGGACTTCTGCTTCAACGCCAAAAGCAGAACTAAAAAAGTCTTAACTAGATGGTACCTTTTCTCAGAAAAGAGAAATTAGATCTGGTATTTCTATTTGATTGTTGATAGAGGAAATCAATCCAGTAGATAATGAAGTTCTGTTTCTTCCTGACTGATGCTTTACTTAAGGAAGACAACCAAAAACCAAGATAGTTGGTTTGCTGCTTTTAAAATGCAGTTTAACTGTGAAATATTCCTCCTCTGATGGCCTATGAATATGCTGTTATCTCTGTGAGATAGACTTTGAAAGTGAATCTTCTGCATATCTTTTTGAAAATGCTTATTCATCCCCTTGCCCCAAATACATTGGTTAACTGTAAAGTGGATGTAACAAAATAATAAAGTGAATGAACCCTAACTGTACATGCAGCCTTGACAAATGAAATGCGCAGCATTGTAGCAGGTGAAGTGAAGCATTGTCTATCTGGGCTGTTTTTCTTGGCTGCAACTCAGATTGTGTGGGGGATCCTAACCTCAGGCACAATGGCATTCATAAACAGCAATGCACACACTGCTGCTCTTTCTCCAGCAATGCATAAATACTTGTTTTTAAATGAAAAACAATCTTATTAAATACCATTCATTCATATCTGGATTTACAGATGCTTGTTACATTTTTTTTTAAAAATCTGCCTAATAGTTTTTAGCCGTAACTGGGGAATGGGTAAAGCATATTTAATCTTACAACATTCCTAATAATTCAAAAGATATGAATAATGTATCCGGTAGTAAAATACAATTTCAGAAATGAAATTTAATAAATATTGCATAGTTACTTATTGCAAACAATTAAGAATTAGAATGGTAAAAATGGTAAACCTTAAATGATATATATGCATTGTTTGAGTCATGTTAAAATATTGATCATTAGTTTATTTAAAAAATATGTTTATTATTAACACCCCATTTTTTTTACCTTTTTTGCGAACTGAAACTTACTTTTAGTTAACAATAAGTCTGATGATTATTGAAATTATTTGTTTATTCTGCTTTAGAAACCTGCAGTAAACATTGAGAATATATCTCAGTATTTCATTTTGACCTTTTTTTAAAAAAAATCAGTGCTTATTGCAGGAGATAATAATGGGTTCATTACAGTTTGGGGCTCATCTGCTGTGACAAAAGTGCAGTTACCAAATCATGGTAATTACTTTCACACTATTTTTCAGGGAGGGGGGATGTATTTTAAGTGTTGTAATCAATCACTGTTGCAGCCTTTCAAATTCTAGGCAATGCTTTTAGCTGCTAACCTTAACACACACACCATAATAGAAATTAGTATCAATGGTTAAATGTTAATGAGCTATAGTGCGGTCCTTTCATGCTATGCTAATTTATGCATTTTTTAAAAAATGTACCACAATGTGTCTTCAAGCTGAATGGTTACCACCCTCCTCTGTAATAAATCATAATCTACCCCTCCTTCTTCCCAAACTCCAAAATCGAATATTAATATAATTTGAGATTTAACTGGTGGAACAGCCATCAGGATAGCAATGCCCTGCAGCTGAAATAATATTTAAAATAGAAGAGATTTGACATTTGATAAGTCAGTGGCTTGAAATACCCAGTTGTACTTAGCTAATTCAGTCCTTAACCTCTGGTTTCAAATAAATCAATTACAGTCGATTCCACTTCAGTTCAGAAGTGCATGAGGTTTTAATTGAATACATTTTATTTGCTAGGAATATTCATTTATCCAAACCTTTAAATATAAAGGAGTTTCCTTTGATTGTCCGTGTTAAATTTAACTGCATAATCCAATCAAGACATGCTTGTTTGCTTGGATTCTCTCTAAATTCTATAATGGGTAGCTTGTTTTCTTTACAATGCATATCTCAGCAAATTGCAATTTTGCTGAATTTTGTTTAAAACAACTGTGGTCTTAGATCACTTAAGGTGAATTTAAATTCTCTAAAACTAGTGAAAGTTACTCCTGAGGTTACTATTTAGAATATTTTTTTAGAATAAGACTGGAATTCTGAAATACTTCTGGAATGAAGTATTTAGTTTAGTTATATCTGATTTGTTGACAAGACTGTTGATTAAACTCCTGTCAAAACCAGGTTTAGGATATATTATTTACAAATAACTCCCCAAAAAACAAAGCATATCATCTTAATGTACTCTCCTCTCAAGTATTGTTTTGAATATAGCCTTTCCTAACCTGATACTACAAGATGTGTTGAATTACATCTCCCAAAATTCTTAGCCTGTATAGCCACGGTGGCAGGAATTTTGGGAAATGTAATTCAATACATCTGGAGTGCACAGAACATCACCCAGCCATCTCTGAAGTGATAGAAAACCTGCCCTCGTTGCTGTTTTTTTGGCACAATGGTGGTTGAATGACTTTAGACAATACTATAAATTGCTAGTGGTGAAATAACTTAATGCTTGAGAATTTGTCATTAATGATGGAGACGTTCCTTTATAGGTTCCTGCTCCAAAGTAAACACCACTGATGTTAGAGCTTTATACCCTAGCAATAAATTGAAGGTATATAACTAGCATGCTAGCATGTAAGAATTCAATCTTATATAGATTTATCAGAAGTTAAGTGCTGGTGCACATGGTAATTTACTTCCAGTTGAACCTGCAGAGTTTTGTGTCATAGACAAAAAACAAGACACATTGATTATTGTGGTGCAAGACAGCAGTCTAAATAAATAAACAAATATGCTTATTTTTTTAAAAAAAGATTTGGAGCAGAAATAAAGTGGGCAGTTAGTAGTCTAAGGAAGTTAAGCACGCAATACATTACAATTGCTTTTTACAATTTGTTTTGCCATTGAACTCCTTGGTCTTCATCATTCAACAAGACTCTGTACTCGCTATCTCTATTACCTGATCAATTATAGCCCAAACCTGGATAAAATGAGAATGTTGTCATTAACTTAGTGGATGTGAATTGCATAGATCTCCATGCAATTTCATCCTTAGGGTTCTCATATAATGCTTGGTGTTACTAATACCAATATCACTAATGCTACTGCTAATATAACTTTATAATAATTGGTAGTTCTAATTTTGGGATGTCCAAAAAGTTTCACTACCTTCTGGCAGTGATGCATGAAACAAATTTGCAAGGTAGGTCAATAAAGTTCACCTTAAAGTGATAAAAGTTTTGGAATAACAGTTAATTGAAAACTCAGTGAATTTAAAGTGAGTTCCAAGGAGTTCCTGGTTCATCTACTCTATAGATAATTATAAATAGAAGATTGATGAAGGAATAGGTCAGTCAAGTCCTGAATCATAATTGTTTGTAGGGCATCGATTGCAGGCTGTCCATTCTACAGTGAATAAGAAGTCCTCCCTATTCCCGATTAAAATGGCTAGACATCCACATCTTTCTTCTAAAAGCAACACCGGCCTCATCAAACTTCCCTATAACTAGAAGCGCTGGACTACCATTCCTATCCTTTTGTTGAGGTCGGCCAATGTCAGGGAACAAAGCGAGTTAAGGAGACTTTGATATGCTGCTTTCCCCTGGACCTTCGCGGGCTTGGACCTAGCTTACAATTGCGTATTGCTTCTTTGCTGGGGAGGGTTTCCAGGTCTTGTGTCTCCACGGATCGGAGTTTGCCTGTTTGGGAACAGAGAAGAACCGATTAGCGTCCGCCTTGCCTCTCTCAGACCTGACGGCACGCCGAACGTGCCCAGAGGATAATCAGGTTAGACAACTGCTGGGAATCAACATCTGCTCCTCTTCCCACCTCCATTTCAGCCCTCTTCCCTTTCCCGCCCCGTTGTTGAAAAGCAGGCAAGGCTTGGCCGGGGGTCAGGACCATAGCACCGGGGAGGAGCGCTCGATCCAGGCTGGAGGGGAAAATGCGTGGGAGATAACAGCAGATTTTTCTTGGCTGGCCTCTCCTCTGTAACAGCGAGGGACCAAAAGGTCCGGAGAGATGCTTTCTTTGCTCTCCCACGTTGCGGCTCCGGGGATTCTTCTGGCCTGAAGCTGCTTTGGGAAACGCAGCGGGAGGGCCTGTGAAGCTCCCCACCCACGAATTCGCTCCTCAAACCCACGTGGTTATACCTGGTTACTTTGAGCAAGCAAGCAAGGATCAGCAAACTTGTTGCTCATGCCTGCATTCCCGGTTAAAACAACCATCCTATCAGGAAAAAGAATCAGGAACAGCTGACAAGGAAAGTTCCACTGAGTTGCTCGGGGTGTATTTCCAGTTCACAAAAATGCCTTGTCAAGCTGGTGGAGCACAGAATAGAATAGTTGGAGCACAACCTGCATAATTTTCTAGCAGGTGATTGTAACACTTCTACTGCAGGAAAAATGGGGGTGAGCAGGTTGGGGCTATGGTGAAATCGTCACTCTAAAAATGGTGTTGGTGTTTTGGATGCAGAATTCTAGATAAAAGCAATTTGTAGGTAGGGAGAGCATATGGAGAAAAAGTTTTCTTGAGGGTGTATATAAGGTTTGACTTATCTAGTAGTGAGAAGATAAACAAATTTATGCAGATGATTTCCTTTTCTGAGCCGGGAAACCTGGCTGAAAATAGACGTTTCATTGATCTTTTTTAATGTACTCAATGTATCTTACTCATTTTCTTCACTGAATTCCCTCCACACCAGTAGTTATGGCTATAGATATGTATTAAATAAAAAAATCATAGTAGCCTGTTTCCCACCTGAACCACATTGTAACCCAATTTGAGTAACCCTGAGGCTGTAGTCCACAGCACACCTGCTAAATTCACTCAATGGCACCTAATTGAAAATAAACATGTTCAGAATACCAGATTAAATGCCAGCATTTTGTTGAGCTGAGGGTGGAGATTCCTTACAACTGGTGATCTTCAGATATTTGCATTTCAGCCTCCATCAGCTCCATCATGTGTTTACATTTCAGCCTTCATCTGCTCCATCAGCAGAGCCAATGCTTTTACTTTCTAAAAAAACGTGGGACCATCAATTTGGGGGCAGTTGCTAATGGCTTCCACAGCCACCATGACCAGCAGTTATAGTTTAAGATATTTGCATTCCTGAACATAAGAATTCCAGTTTGCTGAAATGGGGAAAAAATTAGTCTGCTCAACTATCCAAGCAAGGATATATATGGCAATGTAGAATTGTCTGAAAGGTTGATGGAACAAAATAATTTCTGTTATATTGTAGGAAGCCAGATTGCTTCAGGAATTTTGATAGTAGGAAGGGATTCCTGATTGCTTCAGGAATTTTGATAGTAGGAAGGGATTCCTGATTTCTAGATTGCTTTTGCTGTAGATAGCTTGTTGGATTCTATTTCAGAATATCTTACCCTAACCAGAGTCTATGTCAGGGTGAGAGTCAGCCAGAGGCTGCTGCTTTGCTTTGTGGGCAATTTCAACACAAACATGCAAA